GGATCAACAGAAACGGACTTCTATTCTTTCAAAAATCACGTGCAAAAATGGTGGTTATAGGCTTCGCGCACCATAGTAATATAATTAGTTTCACACGATTTAATTAAGTGATTTTACTTGTCAAGTGATTTTACTTAAGTCAAGTGATTTTAATTACGTCAAATGGTTTTATTTACGTCAAGGATCTTTATTTTAGCCAAGTCGTCAAAATGGCCCCGATGAGAAACTACCTTTAGTCAGTACTTTAATTATGTCATGACTAAAGTCAAAAGTTTCATCATACATCATTGATTATCATAGTCAGTTTTTAATGTACAAGTAAATATTTGATTACAATATCAAGTAGTGGTCTTCTTGAAGCAGGCAGACTAAACCAGAAGGAGAGGAAGATCTGCCAATTTTCTTCTTTGGATGACCCAGTTTTGGATTCCTTTAATTTGTCATCTTAAGTGAGTTGTATTATAAATCGATCAATTTTAATGATATTTAATACCTGAAAAATATCCAATTATTCATTTTATATTTACAACCAGAACTCGTCAAGATGATGCTTTGACAAAACGGATATACATGTTAAACCAATGTTTTTTGTTATCTACTTATTAAGGTTTTTTTAAACCAAAGAATTTTTTTGTGAAAACATTGACTTTGGTTTAATGAGTTCTGACTGTATTATATATATTTATTATTAATAATAATAATTGTAATATTAAATAGTGATGGAACTGTAGATTTTTTGGAATAACCTCTAACAATATTTAACCTAAAAGGGTTTTGTTCAAAATTATTTATATTAAAGAAGATTACATGATGTAAATTTGTCCAGAAAATTTTTTTGGTTGGCTGAGAATTTATGTCATGAATTTGCATTACTCGTTTGCTTTGATGTATAGCGTAAAAGTAAGAAAAATACCTAATTTTTTTCACAATGCTTCTGGGGAGAAACTACAATTTTCATTTCAAAAGTTGAAAAATATCAAAACACGTGATAAGACTTTCAGTTGGCCAATAAAATTTCGAGTATATATATATATTATTTTATGCGGATCCTTCGTAAAAATTCATTTTTGAAAAATTGGCAAGTCTTGGCATCGATTAAGAAATGCCGAGAATGCCAATTTTATAAACATATAATGTGCATAACATAATAATCCAAGTTTTTTATCCAAGTAAAATCAAATATTTATCACTTGGTAGAAATAATAATCTCAATAGTAATGGAAACAATGATCCCTTTTTAGCAATTGACGTTTTGATTTCTACTATGCTCGTCTCGTTTTGTCGCAGCAAAACCTACAATTATAAAGTATAAAAGAATGCTATTGCTTTTAATAATGTAGTTTCTTTTAAAAACAAAATGAATGTAATGCAATTAGCCAAAAAGTTTCCTCAAATTCCTCAACACGAAATACTTAAAATCACCTCTCAATTCAAGTAAGCTACGCTATTTTTGTTTTTTTTTGGATTTCTTTGTTTTTGCATGAATTTCACAATTAAAAATTCAAAAATTTGAAAAAAGTCAAATAGACATTGATGGTAGCGGTGCACTTGAACAAAAAGAAATTTTAAAAGCTTTACAAGACATAGGTGAAGACAATTCATACGACGAGATAAGAGCAACTTTAAAAGAAATCGACTTAAGTTCTACGGGAAAAGTCGAGCTTGAAGAATTTGTTGAAGTAAATATATATATATATATATATATAATGTGTTGTTTACTTAATTAATTAAACTATAGATGATTAATTTCATTAATCATTTTTTAACATTTACATTTATATTAACTTTAACTTTAAATATTTAGTTAATTTCAAAACTAAGATCAGGGCGTAATAAAAGTGCATTTGCAGTTAACAAACATAAAATCACCGTTCATGGATCAAGTCAAAATGTTTCACATACAATAAACGAGGATGAAAGAACTGAATTCACAAGACATATGAACCAAACATTATCTGGAGATCCAGATCTTGCTGATAAATTGCCAATTAACATCTCGAATATGCAATTATTTGATGAATGCAGAGGTAATAAAAATGGCCATGATATGATATGATGATTATTATTATTGACATTGTAATACTTACAACTATAACAATAACTATAACTATGCAATAATTATTATTATTAGATGGTTTACTTCTTGCCAAACTTATAAATAATTCAGTACCTGATACAATTGATGAACGTGTACTTAATGTTTTTAAAAAAGGAAAGAAAATCAATAAGTTTCAAATGATTGAAAATAATAACTTAGTAATTTTTTCAGCAAAAGGAATCGGTTGTAATGTTGTAAATATTGGTTCAGCTGATTTAATTGAAGGCAGAGAACATTTAATTTTGGGTCTTATTTGGCAAATCATTAAGATTGGTTTATTGAATAAAATTGATATAAAGCTTCATCCTGAATTATATCGTCTTCTGGAAGATGATGAAACTTTGGAACAATTTTTAAAATTACCTCCTGATCAAATTTTATTGAGATGGTTCAATTATCATTTAAAAGCTGCTAAATGGCAACGTCGGTGAGTTGTAAATAAATATTACATCTTGAATGTGTGAAAGAGGTATACTACATCATATTCATGTTATTAATATAATTTTTCCCTAAACATATTTCATTAGAGTCCAAAATTTTAGTAAAGATGTATCTGATGGTGAAAATTACACTGTTCTTTTAAATCAACTAGCTCCTGATATTTGTTCCCGAGATCCTTTAAAAGAGCGAGATCTTTTAGAACGTGCAGAAAAGGTAGATTCATTCAATAGTTGAAACTTTAGACGCTTGCATAAATAATATACTAAATAAAAATATTTTTAATATGATTAAATAGATTTTACAAAATGCTGAAAAGTTAGGATGTAGGAAATATCTTACACCAAGAGCTCTTGTTGCTGGCAATCCTAAATTAAATCTAGCTTTTGTGGCACATTTATTTAATACTCATCCAGGTCTTGCGCCACTTGATGAAGAGGAAAAGGCCGATCTTGAGGAATTTGATGATGGTGATGATAGAGAAGCAAGAGGTAAATTTTTTTCTTTTTCTTTATTTTGTTTTTTCTTCTCTTTGCTAATTTTTTTTTTTCGATTTTATTAATTTAATCTTTAGTGTTTAGTTTATGGTTAAATAGCTTGGATGTTACACCTGCTGTAAATAATTTGTATGAAGATCTCAAGGTTTGCTATTACTTACAAAAAATATTATTATCTCTTTTTAATTTATATTATTATATTAAATTAAAACAAATAATTTGGTTTAATATCATAGGATGGATTAATTATTCTTCAAGCCTATGAAAAGCTTAGGCCAGGGATAGTTGATTGGAAGAAAGCAAACAAAGCCAACAATAATAATCTTTCAAGATTTAAACAAGTGGAAAATACCAATTACGCCATATTGATTGGTCAATCATTGAAATTCACACTTGTTAATATTCAAGGCGCTGATATTGTTGATGGAACAAAAACTTTAATTCTTGGTCTTGTTTGGCAAATGATGCGATTAAATATAATCCAAACTTTGATAAGTTTGTCAAAAGGTGGTCGTGAAATAACTGATGCAGATTTAGTTCAATGGGCAAATGAAACAGTAAGACGTGGTGGAAAAACAACAAAAATGAATAGTTTCAAAGATTCATCATTGAGAAGTGGTATCTTTTTGATTGATTTACTAAATGGTATAAGACCAGGAATAGTAGATTATAGTTTGGTTACAAGAGGCATATCTGGTACTTTTCTATTCATGTTTCTTGAGGAATTTGATGATGGTGATGATAGAGAAGCAAGAGGTAAATTTTTTTCTTTTTCTTTATTTTGTTTTTTCTTCTCTTTGCTAATTTTTTTTTTTCGATTTTATTAATTTAATCTTTAGTGTTTAGTTTATGGTTAAATAGCTTGGATGTTACACCTGCTGTAAATAATTTGTATGAAGATCTCAAGGTTTGCTATTACTTACAAAAAATATTATTATCTCTTTTTAATTTATATTATTATATTAAATTAAAACAAATAATTTGGTTTAATATCATAGGATGGATTAATTATTCTTCAAGCCTATGAAAAGCTTAGGCCAGGGATAGTTGATTGGAAGAAAGCAAACAAAGCCAACAATAATAATCTTTCAAGATTTAAACAAGTGGAAAATACCAATTATGCCATATTGATTGGTAAATCATTGAAATTCACACTTGTTAATATTCAAGGAGCAGATATTGTTGATGGGACAAAAACTTTAATTCTTGGTCTTGTTTGGCAAATGATGCGTTTAAATATAATCCAAACTTTGATAAGTTTATCAAAAGATGGTCGTGAAATAACAGATGCAGATTTAGTTAAATGGGCAAATGGAACAGTAAGACGTGGTGGGAAAACAACAAAGATGAACAGCTTCAAAGATTCATCATTGAGAAGTGGCATCTTTTTGATCGATTTACTAAATGGCATAAGACCAGGAGTAGTAGATTATGGTTTGGTAACAAGAGGCACATCTGGTACTGAACTGTTCTATTTACATTTATTAATTATTATTACTATTCTTTTATTAAAAAAATTAATGAAAATTTTTTTTTCAGAGGATGATGCAACATTAAATGCAAGGTATTCAATTTCTATTGCAAGGAAAATTGGCGCTACTATTTTCCTATTACCAGAAGATATTGTTGAAGTTAGACCTCGTTTGGTAATTCATAATTTATATTATCGATATTTGATTTTTAATAATAAATAATAATAGTAGTAATAATTTTATTTTTCTATATAGATTCTCACATTCATTGGTAGTCTAATGGCTTTAGATAATAATCCAACAGTCATTAAATAGATGCTTTATTTATTACATTTTTGTTTTTTACTTGTTTAATATATTTATGTTATTATCTTTTAATGTATAAATAAATTATATTTTGAAAATATTGCATATTTTATATATCTCTTACATTGAACCTATACTGATACTAAGTACAAGTCCTACGTAGACAGCTTGTCGCGAACGACTCTTGTTGTTTTTCTGTAATATGCTTCAAAAGTATATTAATGATGGATTTGCAAAATGTACAAGATTGACTTGATGACTCCACAACGTTCACATGTTTTGTTAGTGTATTCCTCAGTGCAAATAACGACCTCGCGCTAAGGGTACTCGCGAATTTGTGGAGCAGATGTTGGTGAAAACGGAATAGATTTTTCCAGAACCGAGTTTTTAATCATGTCTTTTGTTCTACATGGTGGTTTTCGCATAACCAACCATCTTGCTAATCTTCGATGACATTAACTCACAAGACTATTACAAATTTTCTTGTGAATCCGGAGCATGCACCGACGGAGTTTATACCTCCTATGCTTATTCGCTTTGCCATGAATTGAATCCCTTTCACCTCGGATTCTATCATAATGCAAGCACAAGCGGTGTATTCCACTAATACACCCTTTTCTCCATTCTATAACCTCACCACTTGGATTATAGCCAGCTGCAAAGGTTCTCACTCCTGGATCAAGAGAAATAATGCCAGCGCTTCTATTCTCTTCGACCATCAAAAATTTAGGAGCCATAATTTCGAGTGGTTTGGGGATACACAACTAGAATTCACCAAGACGATTCGAAGGTCATAATTCATTTCAGGTATTCTTCACTTGCTTCAATATATTTGGGAAATGAATAATGACCACGATTTCTTCCCCAGCCTATTGATAGAATGGTGACTAACCACGATTTAGATCTGAATTTCAATTTAAAGTTTTTCCTTTTTAAAGCCAGCATCACTAATGCCATTAAGGTGTGTGCTAAGAACCCACTTGAGACTAGTGTTTTTGAAATTTTCAGATTTATAATTTTATATTACAGCTAGACATTCACTGGTTGCACGTTCAGCTCGTAGTACTAATCCATTTGGTTTTTCCTCTGAATTACGGTAAAGAATTTTCCCGCCGGAGTTTTTTAGAAGAGAAGGTCGAAGATGAAGGTTAGCAACATCCTCGACTTTGAAAAAAGAAGATGATGATGAAGTTAATTCTCATTTATAAAAGAAATTGCATCTTTAAATTATTGCATGTTCCATCTGGTAAAAGGGGAGTATTACTAAATTTCTAGATGTTGGTTTAGCTGAGTCAACTGTAATTCATGAACCAAGAGTTAGTTTTTTTAAAGAGTCATTCATTCCATTGACTTGATCACAGTAATTCACTATTAGTTTTTAAGGGTAACCAACACCAATTTGCGAGTTTTTGAGTGAACTCATCCCCAGGATGGCTTATTATATCTTCTTACATTCGAAGAAGTTGGTTGTGATGGAGAGCCACAGCCAATTGAAAAAGATTTTCGATAGAAATAAAGATAAAAAATCATTATTTGTCAAAAAATTTCTTTGAATTAAAAGATAATATATTTATTGTTTTCGCAAAATTATTTTCTGATTGTATGTTTGTGAAATTAATCATGAAATCAATCACTCAAATATCATAAATAGATGTTTATTTAATAGATTGTAAAGTTCACCTACCAATCGACCAACTATCCAGGCTGTTTGATTTTTCGAGAGAATCTTTTTGTATTAATGTTATTAATATGGGCACGTTAGTAATGGAAATAGTAGTTTTAATAAAAAATTCCTATCAAAAATTTTAACAGCTTCTTTAAGCTATTGAAACTAAGGCTCCGAATGAATCAACGAAATTCGAACCGAACCGAATCGAATCACCCTAATTTTTGATTCATTTCATTCGAATCGAATACGAATTGTGCTTCGATTAAAACTTGATTCGAATTCATGGTTATTTATTTTTAAGATGATTCATCAAAGTTATCTTTTAACGTGTATATGTATGTCGCCTAATATGTTATGATTAATTAACATAATTACTCAAATTATTGTAAATGAAATAATTCGAATCATGTGTACAGTCAAACCTCGTTTTTGCATAATATATATAATATATATATGGGCATGCTGCAACAAAACCAAAGTGAGTAAGAGGCTGATGTGGCTGAATATCAACTAATTTGATTAATAACATTTTGATTATTCATAGCTGTGAATTATGCACAACCATTTTCTTTGGCAGTTGGAATGAAAATCTTCTTTAATTTACTTTCTTATTCTCAATCAAGATCATTTTTTAACTTCAATTTGAGCAATTAATTGACCATTTTGTCGTTGTAATTGTGTCAATTGAACTCTCAACTCATTAATCTCTTTTATTAACTCTTGAGGTATAAAGAAGGCTTGAAATATTTTACAAGAAATTTATTATTATTATTATATTTCCAGCTGGTTTTTGCTAGGAGGAAAGGAAATTGCATTTTAAAATTCGTCATACCAAAATTACTAATCACGTTTCATATTGATATGTATGTGAAGTAGAGTCAAGCCATTGCTAATAAATTTTAAAGAAAAATAAAATTCTTTCAAAATGTCAACTAGTTTTTCAATATTAGAGAATATAAGTTCATTATTTAACAAACCTATAAATTCCAATAAAGATGCTCTATCGTTAAACTATACTAGTAAACTTTTAAATGATTTAACAAAGTTGTTAATCGAAACAGACTATTATGATGTAGAAATTAAAGTTGGAGAAGGTCTGAATGTTAAAACTTTTAAAGCTCATTCTACTATTTTAAAAGCAAGGTCTTCATATTTTAAAGCTGCTTTTTCAAATAGTTGGATTAAAAAATCTGATGATGGTAATATTATTTTATTTGAAAAAAAAAATATTTCTTCAAAAGTATTTGAAGTTATTTTGACGTAAGAATTATTTATTAATTATAAATTATTATGCTAATAATTTTTTCATAAAAAAATTTTAATTTTTTAATTTTTTAATTTTAAAAGATATATTTACAATGGAATTATAAATCTAGATAAATTGAATCCAAAAGAAGTTCTTGAACTTCTTGAAGCATGTGATGAATTAAATTTTAATGAATTAATTGAAAGATTACAAAATCACTTAATAGTTGAAAAAAAAGATTGGATTCAACATAATTTAGTTTATGTTCATAAATTTTCATCAGATCACCAATTGTTCAATTTACTTCAAGATCATTTTGATGAATTAATTTATGACAATCCTCAATTATTTTTAAAATCTGATGATTTTAATTATATTAGCAAATCTATCCTTATGTCTATATTAAAAAAAAATAATTTAAAAGTAAAAGAAATTGACATTTGGAGTTTTGTTATTCAATGGGGTATAGGACAAAACAAAAAATTAAATAAAGATATTTCAGAGTGGAAAAAAAATGATTTTATCATATTAAAAAATATATTGGTAGATATTATTCCATTAATAAGATTTAATTATATCACTTCAATTGATTTTCTTGATAAAATTATGTTATATAAAAAATCATTTGATAAAGAAATATATAAAGAACTTCTTCATTACTATATCAGTAATAATTGGCAACCAAAATTATTATTTCAAAAAGGTCCAAGAGTAAGAGGAAATTTATTAAATTTAAAAAAAATATGTTTAATTTCTAGCTGGATTGATGAGACAAAAGACTCATATAATGCAAATACTTTACCTTATGAATTTAAATTAATTCTCACTGGAACTCAAGATGGGTTTTCTAGATCTGTCTTTGAGGAAAAATGTTATGATATAGAACAGACTATAGCAATTATGAAAATTAAAGAAACAGGAGAATTATTTGGTGGTTATAATCCTGTTGGCTGGAATATTAAAGGAAAGTCTCCAGATGAAGCATATTATATTAAAACAAATAAAAGTTTTATTTTTAAGTTTGATGAAAATCAAATAATGAATTCAATAATAAGTAGAGTCAAAAATACAGAAGAAGCAATATGGCATAGTAAACAAAACATTGATTTGATTGAAAATAGACTAAAGTTTCATGAAATTACTATATGTTTTTGCAATTTTGGATTATGTAATAGCATTAATAATGACCCTTATTATTACAATTTTAGTATTTATGGTGATTTTTCTTATAAAAATGATTTGAATTTTACGAATAAGGATATTTTCATAGCATTAGAAGAATTAGAAGTCTATGAATTAGTAAAGAAAAATGAATGATTTTTTAAAACTATGTTTTTATTTATGTCATAAAAAATATCAAATTTCAAATAAATGCATGTATTCTTTTTCAAAACAATCTCTATATTGGCTTATAATAAATTTCCAAATCTTTAACACTGAACAAATCTGCAAATCAAATACTAGCTTCTGAACAGCCAGCTCTATCATAGATTCACTTGAGCAAATATCCATGCACAGATTTCTTCCTAAAAATTTTATCAAGTGCATAATAGAACATGAGGATAATTGTATGTTTTTGCTCTTTTTGATCCATTATTCCATCCAGACTCTCACCAACCTATGTTTTCTCCTTGACTTTCTTTCTGTGATTTATTTAATCATGGTACAGTAATAATAAAAAGAACAGAAAAAAAAATGAAAGATTACAACAATAAATCATGATTAAAAGTACAATTTAATGCAGGAACTTATGGATCTGCTGTTTTGGATGAATTTGATAATTTGGAAAGGTAGCTGAAAAAAAGAAGATTATAATGATGGTGATAAAGGTCACGATTATGGTAAGGAGCCTTGTATAGCTTGAACTTTTTTCATTGCTTGTTTGATACCTTGCTCACCCATATCTTTAATGTTATTTGTAACTCTCTTATCAATGTCACTTCAAACCTTTTTTATATGCGGTGGTTGTCTACCAAAAAAAGCATGATGAATTTCTCAAAGAAAAGATGAGGAATTGTAAGAACATTAGACCCAGACGTTAAAGTTGATGAGAAATTAACGTTAATCATTCAAGGATAGTATTCTTTCGTCTGCCGAATCAGATACCAAAAGAGCTATGTGGCCAGCTTGGATGAAGCAATGGAGGAAATCATTATATTTTTCAAATAGATAGATTATTATTATTCAACCTGTTTTACCTGGCTCTTATCTGATTTTTCATTTAGCTGCATGAAATCTTGCTAATGAAATGACTTCTGGATGTATAGATATAGTAATGATGATATAATGGATATCCATGGGATAATATATTTAAGTTTTGAAACAATATTCTAAAAGACAAATGTTGGAAATGAAATTTTGGATGATTACTTTATTGTAAACATTTAAAAAGTGGTTTTTTTATTTGTTCAACAAGTTTACAAACAACTATTCATAGATATGAATTGCGGATACTTTGTTGAAAAAAAAATTTGATATTAATGATTGAAAGAGTAGTGACCCCTTTGTGAGTGCTTGACATTTGAAAAATTGTTGTTTACCAATAGCATTTGTTATTTGTTGCGACTAATCCATTGTCACATTGTATGATTGAATGCTTTCAAAGATCAAAATCAGGCATCAGTATATCAGACACAATAAACCACTTTCCCTAGCATTGCAAATATTTATTAATTTAGATTGATGATAGAAACGTTATTATGTTCAATTATGTCTTATTATGGTTTATTTTGTTTATAAATACGGAAAAGGTGGGCTGAAACAGTAGCTGAACACATTTAATATAATCTAAGAGACGCGCCCAATTAGTTTTGTAATAAAAGTAAAGAATCAATTTTTAACTAACATTTATTTTCAATAAACTGTCGTTATATTTTGATTCGTTAATTGTGTAGGCGCAATTCCTTTTGTATTATAGAGAGTCATGACATGTTGTCAAAATTGATTTAAATAATAATAATTATTATTATTAATTCGTTAATCTCTAAATTTGAAAAGATATTATTCTATTTTTCTTTTTAACATATGAAATTTAGCTTAGAAGAATCATTAGTAAAAATAATTGACGTAGCAGAATCGTAAATTGTAGTGACAAGCTGTAGATAGTAGACAGGTGTCTATTTATAATTCATATTTTATTTGAATGTTTATTAGTGATTTAATTAATGAATGATTCATAAGACCAAACTTTGGAAAGGATCAAATCGATCTTAAAAATGGTTTTTGAAAGAGGTTTATATTTTTCATTATTAACATATTTCATATATTTTTTTTATGAAAAATAGGCCAGAGTATGTAGCATTGTCAGGATTGGCAAATTCAAAAAATCCATGGATGCAATGGAGCAAAAAATATTATGTTACAGGTATATTCGAGAAATAACGACGTTCGTCTTGACAGTATTTATGATTCTATGTTTATTCAAATGTTGTACAGTCTATAAATAATACATCTTATCGTATTCAAAATATTGTTTCAAACAAAATTACTTTAAAAAAATGTCTGATAAATAAATTCTAAATATTTATTTATTATGTAATGGATCTAAATCACTAAATATACTATCAAAAGAGATGCTCTTTGAATGAACAAATTGTTTTTGTTGTAATGAGTTCATACTTGTACTTGTAAAACCATTTGAAAATGTGTGGTTTTTGTAAGAATCCAAATTTGTTGGGCGCATTGTTTTTCGTGAATTAACATCAGATGCAGCTTGGAAATCACTGAAAATATCATCATCATTTAATTTTTGAGACGGAAATCTTTTTGACGTTTCAGATTTAATTAATGGTAGAAGATTAATGAAAGGATCGTCTGTTATCTTATTGTTGTTATCAAAAATAGATGTTGTTGTTTTTAACGGATCTAAATCACTAAACATACCATCAAAAGAGATGCTCTTTGAATGACCAAATTGTTTTTGTTGCGATGAATTCATATTTGTATTTGTAGAACCATTTGAAAATGTGTGGTTTTTGTAAGAATTCAAATTTGTTGAACACATTTTTTTTTGTGAATTAACGTCAGGTGCAGTTTGGAAATCGCTGAAAATATCATCATCGTTATCTGATTTTTGAGGTGGAAATCTTTTTGATGTTTCGGATTTGGTTGATGATAGAAGATCAATGAAAGGATCGTTTGTTATCTTGCTGTTGTTGTTGTTGTCAAAAATAGGTGATGCTGTTAATATTGAAGATGGAGAAGCTGGTTTAGGTTTAAGAATACCTTTAAAGTGATAATAATAATGATAATAATAATTATTATTATTATTATTATTATTATAATATTATCTATTCTTATAAATATTATCATTTGTGAACTTACTACTGCTTGCAATTGAAGTCAAAGAACTATGTCTGACATGCCCAAAAGGATTCTGTTTATTATCAATGCACTTGAATTTTATATATATAAATAGTGTTAAATAAATAAATAAAAAATAAGATGATGATGATAAATAATAAATAATTACATTATAATTAACAGCAGAAAGATTAAAATCATTATTATCCAAGAGAGAAGGCCCTGTTGAAAAAATATTTGAATTTGAATTAACATGTAAAATATTTTGATCAGAATATGTTGCAGAACAATTATCCAAAGAATTTTGTTGGGTGAAAAAAGCATTAGTGGTGGTGGATATTTTATTAGATTCTAGATATGTATTGTTTCTTTTTGTAATAGATTGTTGATTTGAAGAATTATTCAAAGTGTCAAAAAAATCATCAAGTTCATTTTTAACATTGTTATTACAAGTATTGTTATTAGGTCCAGATGATAAAGAAATTAAATTATTAGAATTTGGTTTTGGTAGCATTGGAATATTATTAGTTGTTGTTGATGGTGACACTACAACATTATATGTATCAGAGGAATATTTTAAATAACTTGTATTATTGTCTGATTTTCTGCTTGTAGGTGAAACAGGCGAATGGCCGTTTAAACTAGAGTGTTGACTTGAAAAATCATCACTTAAATTACTGCTACTATTATTCAATTTATTATTTAATGCTGGAGAATTAATAACAAAAGTTCCTTTGGCCTATTAATTAATCAAATTATTATTATTATTATATATACAAGAAATTACATGACAATGATTATTATACTTTTTTACCACATAATCTTCACCATTTGGTGGTCTCTTATTATTTGCTTTCAAAAGTGACTCATCCAACCATTTCTTTTGTTTATATTTCATTGACATCAAAGTACGTATTGATTCTATATCACTAGGGTCAGGTTCTGGAAAGTCTACCCACTTATATTTTGCCAACCAAATTTCTACTGCTTTCTAAATTAATAAATAATAAACTTCATTAATCGATTAATGAATTGATTGTCCAAGATAAAAAAATTATATATTCTTACAGCATTACCGCCGTTTTTTAAAGATTCTATTTCAGCTGGAGTAAATGTTGATGCAAGTATTGATTTGACACGATGATTAAATTCACGACTACAGAAACACATTTTTAGATAATGGTGAACGGGAATGGATGGATTAATTCATGTGGAATTCACATTCGAATAAAATTTAATAATAACATTAAAAAAAAATGCCATTGATCACAATCATTCTACTTACTGTATACCTGAACATTTTGCACAAACAAAAGTATCATTAAAAAGATTTACATAAACAGGTCCCTTATTATTATATTACAATAAAAATTAATTAATTGAAATTTTCTTTATTTATTGTTTTCTTTCCTATCAATTCAATAAATTTATTTATCTTTCTTTAGTTATACCTTAGTAGGACAATCAAAACATTTTTTATTTGCTGGTTGTTTTAAAAGCTCACGAATAATTCTAAAATAAAAAATTCGTAAATGCCAGAATTGAACTCGAGAAATATGAAAAATATGTATGTATGTATATATGTATATATCACTTTTATATTTACCTATTATGACGTTCTTCTTGTTCTTTAGACATTTTTTTGTTCAAGTAATCAACGGATAGTAAAATTTAGTAAAAGGAGAAGATAAAAAAAAATATAATTGCCGTCATAAAATAAGTAGTGATAATCAAAGAACACATACATACATACACACATATCTGACAAACTTTATTTATAAAAATAGATTAAAAATTTTTTTCAACTTCTATTTTTAGATTTTTTTTTTCTGGAACCTTGTCAAATGTTCGTGATTTAATAATCATCATCTGATTCTGAAGGACCTAGAGCAATATTTAATAATTCTTCTGAAAAATTGTTGAATATTTGATTATTTCGTCTTACTGTGTCTAATATTTTTTCTGCATCATATGGGTTTGATCCTTTCCCTATATCATTAATGTGATTAATCACATCTCTTAAAAAATCATCTCGAAGAAATTCTTGAATTTTTTCGGATTTTTCTTTATTACAACAATTATTATTATTATTATTGAAAAAATATTCATAAATATTCCAAAATTGCATTTTATAAATGATTAAATAATTACCAATTTGTTGTAATATTTCTTCAGTCAATCTTTCATCATCTGAAATTTCATCAGTACTAGATTCCTCCAACTTATCTTCCTCATCTTCTTCATCTCCTTTCTTTAACTCTTCATAATATTCACCTTCTTCATCTTCATCTTCATCTGATTCTCCAGACTTCTCTGAATTATTAGAAGATATTGTTTTATCAGAATCAGATTGATCTTCTGAATCAAGCATTGTTTCGTTATTTCCTTTTAATTTTATTTCTTTATCTTCAATTGCTTCTGTTTTTATTTTTACATCTTCAGCTTCTATTTTTATTTTTACATCTTCAGCTTCTATTTTTATTTTTACACCTTCAAAATCTGGCGACATTTTATTAAAATTTTTTTGAAAATTCATGTTACTGTGGTACATGAATTTCATACAATTATGGGTGGTGGGTGGATGATATATCAGGCAGGACCCTGGATTCTCGAGGACAGTTTTATAAGATTGATTGTATTTACAATTAAATTGTGTTTATTAATAATAGAATAATACATAAATGAATATTATATACAACGGATGATTTTTATTATGAGGTCAATGCGTAGAATTAGAATTATACTTGTGAAGAATGAAAATTAATAGAAGATGATATTCAGGACTTGGTAACTATCAGGGACATGATTTGTGTTTTTGTTGCACCATCATCACAAATTAACATTAGCGTCAAACATCAACTGTTATTTACCATTCAATTGTCATTTCTCGTAATAATAGTTAGCCGTCAACTTTCCGTTCAAGTACATCTCATATAACACAATATAATTAATATAAAATAACTACATTAAATATAAATAAAATGCAGATTGACTATATAAATCTTCAGATATAAATAAAAATGAATATCGATTAAGTGAACAACATATCAAATTCTTTAAGTTTTGCAACTTTGCTTTCTCAAATATAATGAATATAATTTATCATTAAAAAGATACACGTAACATAAAATAGGATCAAGGGATTTCCACAAAAATCTTTAATAGCCATGAATATTCCGTTTATTATAGCCCTCTAAACTTGGCTTGTTTTCTTCGAAAAAGAATGCAATAACCATTTTTGTTATTAAACCAATTTTCAAAAAAGAAAACGTCATTTTTTAAAAAACAAACTACCTACTTGTACTACATTTTTCTGTAATACAATATAAACGCATTTGACGTCACCCGTTCTTTGAAATAAAAAAAAACATACACAAAAAAAAATTTCTTTTATTACCAAGAGCATCTTTAAAGGTATCAATCAATCAGATTATTATTCTATTATTATTATTACTTTTTAAGAATCATTAACTCAATGATTCTGAACTTATAATGTCCAAAGAACACACTACATCATATACTATTACTATATTAAAATTTTAGACATACGTCTTCATATTAAAAAAAAGATAAAATGTTTACAAATAATTTAGAGAATCAGCAAAAAAAGAAACAGGTATCATTACGCAAGAATATAATAGCTATTTATTTTTTTTGATAATTGCTGATGACAACAATTAATTCATAAATAGGTTCAATCGCGTAATAACTTGGCTTCACAGTGTGATGAAAATTCAGTAACATCTCAAAATTTAGTTTATAATAAAGAAACTGGTTTTACCGCTGCCGTTGTCAACCCAATAAACCCAAAAGTCAATCCAAACATGATTATATCGTCTATTGCGAGAACTACAAAAAACAATAATACATCAATGTTAGCACCACATGTTAATAATTACTTTTTAAGAAAGTTGATTTCTACAAATTCTACAACTACCACCACTGGTGGTAATATTGGTGCACGTAAAAGGGTAGCTTTAGACGATGTTAGTAATATTAATAATGTACCAAATATAGTTACAAACACCACCAAAATTAGTCATAATATCAATTCATCAATTAATAATAATAATGGTAATAATGTAGCAGCATTAAGGCCAATTTATAATAACAATAATAAAAAAGAATTACTAAATCTAGGAAGTGATAATGTCATTTTACCTACAAAACGGCCAATTCCTGCAAGTACATCAACGGTGTCCACAACAACAACAAATTTGAAAAAAAGGACTGCTGCGACTGTTGCACAACAACAACAATTAAAAAATCAACAAACCAGTAATAACTGTGTTAATGTTAGTGATAATGTAATCGAAAAAAAACAAAAAATTGAATCAAGAGCTAAAAAAATTGCAAACCGAATATTACCTACAACAAAAACTACATCCACGACCACTAACGTAACTAAATCTAATGTTGTTATTGATCCAATATTTCCGATATTATCTACAACTATAGAGTCTGAACTTTATGAAGCCGAATTAGAAAAGGCCTATGCAAAGAAAATAAAATCTCAAGAATGGGATGATCTTGACCTCGCGGAAATGAATGATCCCATGATGGTGGCAGAGTATGCGGCGGAAATTTTTGATTATTTGAAAATTTTAGAAGTATGATTTATTTATTTTTTGGGGGGGGGGGTAAATAATAAATAATATCATTATTAATTATAATAATTTCTCTTCACGTCATGTGATTAATAGAAGGAAACAATGCCAAAACACAATTATATGGAAAGTCAACCAGAATTAAATTGGAAGATGAGAACAATTCTTGTTGACTGGCTTGTTGAAGTTCATCACAAATTTTGTTTATTACCTGAAACATTATTCTTAACAATCAACTTGGTTGATAGGTTTTTATCGGATCGTGTAACCTCCATGGTCAAATTACAACTTGTAGGCATTACTGCACTTTTTATTGCTGCCAAATATGAAGAAGTTATTTCCCCATCCATCAAAAATTACATCTTTATGTCTGAAGATGGCTGCACAGAAGATGAAATTCTCACCGCAGAACGGTATTTATTACAAACTATTGATTATAAGTTGAATTATCCCAATCCAATGAATTTCCTTAGACGTAACTCAAAAGCTGATCAATATAATGTTGAAGCTCGCACCATTGCCAAATATTTAATGGAGGCCACTCTTGTTGATCATGCTTTTTTAATTTGTACTCCCTCCATGATTGCTGCAGCTTCATTATACCTTGCTCGTGTAATGCTTAATCGTGGTGAATGGGTTAGTGTTTTGAGTTGTGATTAAAATTCGGAATTAATTAATCTTAAAATTAGTTGTATTTAATAATTAATTTAATGAAAACGTAATATCAATCATTAATATTTACTACCCATTATTATTTATTTAGCATGCAAACCTGATTCATTATTCCACATTTACAGAAGAGCAAATTATACCTTGTGCAAAAATGATTTTACAATACCTGATAAGAAATAACAATTATGTTGATAATATCTTTAATAAATATCTTACCAAAAGATTTATGAAAGCAAGTCTATTTGTAAGAAGATGGGTGATGAAATATGGATTAAGAGTTGACAAACAACTACAATTACAACATCAACAATATCAACAACAAAAACAAAAACCATCGTCACCTTCAAATAATCATAATTAATCTTTATTCTTTGCAATTATTAGTAGCTGTTTGTTCTTACTTTTAGTTATTTAATAAAAGGAACGATGTGTAGGTTTGTTATATTAAAAAATATTAAATGCTTTTAATGTTATTGAAATGTATATTAATTGATAGTGTCACTTATAATTTTCTTTCTTTTCTATCTTTCTTAAATTAAAATATGTCTACTTTGAATGACATTTATTTCTTTCATATTTAATAAAATTCTTCTAACCAAATGTCCTTCCTTATGCGCTAATTAATTAAAACTCATTATTTACGCAAACTGATGAGCCTAGTTAATTTAACGTAAATTATATTGATAATGTTGATATTAGATTTTAAAAAGATGAATAGAAAAAGTCAAAGAATGTAATATTATGAGTCCAACGTTTTTTGTTAATATTTTTCTTGGGTGACTTGTAAGTTGTTATTCTTTTATTTGATTCTGTTTTTTTGCGAGTTGTTTATCCCAACTTGACTATATTTTCATAATTTCGATTTATGCAATAATTTACACAATATAAATGCTTACGAACTTATTGAATTTGTCAACCACTATTACTCTTCCTTCATCAAAAAACAGAACTTCAATACTTTTTATCATGGCCATGTACATGCGATAAAATGGAAAAGACATCAAATAAATAACCACCAAACATAACAATTCTAAAACGGGAAAGTGTCTTAATATTATTGATTAATTCAGAGGATTGATTAATCGAACAAAGTCATATTTTTTGATAAGTCCACTTCTGATTTCCTTTCCCAAACGAACGAGGTCGTGTTTTGCTAAAGTTTTTTTATTTTATGATAAATTTTTATTGAGTTTCGTTTGACATGGCAATTCTCTAATCAAATTAAAAGTAACAAATATAAAGACAAATGATTAATGTTATTTCCTTGTTCGTTTGTTTAAAAAATGAAATTTTGTTTAACACTAAAGGAATGCTTTAGAATGCAGGTCATCATCAGTCGAGTAAAAATTTTAAACCGGTAATAATATTATCTAATAAATTCTAGTCACCAAAGGAGCTCCAGTTAAGGAGAAGTGTAAACAAATTCATTATGATAATATTTTGTTTATAAACAATGTGGTTTGACGACCCCTAGCCCTCACAGATTAAGCCAGCCGACCTTAACGCAGGGCATCAGTTAGGAGAAGTGTAAATAAGCTTATTTTGTTATATATAAATAATATCATTATCTTATTTAGTCTCCGGTTGAGCGAAAAGTGAAGTCAAAACAGACATAATCATTGGTTCATATCAAACAAAAATTACGTCATATCTGTCATGCCCCTAAATAATTTAAAGTAGACATTACATATACTACCTCTGTTACACTAGATTGATCCGTTCTTTATTTTGATTGGGTAGAAATATGATTATCTTACACCCAAAAAGGGGGGTAAGGAGCAGTGTTGGAAATTCAGGGTGCGCAGGGTGCGCGCGCAGCATGTTACACCAAAATTGTGAAACATTTTATGTGC